GAACACTGCTATCCCCCCTAGTCCTTCTTTCCATTAAACTAGAGATACTCAATTCCTGCAACCACCCTTTATATATTTTAGCCTTCAGTCCTGTAATTATCTTTGTTGCCCTTTTCTACACTTTTTCCAGAGTCTCAACATCTTTTTTATATTGGAGTGACCAAAACTGAATGCAGTATTCCAAGTATGGTCTTACCAAAGCATTATAAAGTGGAGCTAACACTTCAAAAAGATCCAATCCTTGAGCCATGAGTTCTCCCTCCAGTTGACCAATAGGAGAGTAGAAAATCAGGATTCAGAAAAAGTCTCATTACTCAACTCTTGGAGTAAAGATTCCCTTGCTCCTGCTCTACACAAAAAACATGAAAATGCATTTCCAATCCATGTTTTCATTAGCTGTATTCCTTCATCTTTGCAAAAAGACCTGGGAGATAGTGGTGAGTCCTCATGGTTCTGCTAAATAGCCTCAACTGGCTATGTTGCAGAAAGATAATGTGGCGGCATATTTGCAAGCAAGCATTTTTCACAACAGCTCTAATCATGGTTTTAGGTTACACTTTAGAGCTACACTGTTATGTGTGCATAGGGAAGAAAGTAGTGGCTCACTTGAGAACACAGACTCACAGGCAGGTAAATCTATAACTTAATCTATGCTGATTCAATGCGCAGAAGAAATCCACTTGAGCTCAGCTGTTCATAAAGAAATTATGAAAATGACTAGAAATTTGAGTGGGTAGGTCAAGATTGGGTTTGTTGATCTAGCGGACAGCATTCTTTCTCTGAAATAGTTCTTCAGCAAGAACTTACTTGAGCAATATCTTACTTGAACCCCAGTGTTGTTTAGGCATAGTAGAGCAGACCAAACCAGTAGAAAATGACTAGTTTAACCTTGTTACCCAAACACTCTCCCCATTGTTCTGATTTCAGATCAACCAGAGCAAGGGCCTGGATTAATGCACAGAGATGCAGTCCTGGTAACTCAAATAGGTTCTCTGCCTCCATGCCCTAGTGCAGGGGTGTCAAACTCACGTGACGTATTGGGATTTGACAGCGCGTGACGCATTCAGCCCAAGGGCCGGGAGTTTAACAGCCCTGCCCTAGTGGTTAGAATGCAGTACTGCAGACTACTTCTGCTGCCTGCCAGCTGCCTTTAAAATCTCACCAGGCTCAAGGTTGACCCATCCTTCCCAAGTGGGTCAAATGAGGACCCAAATACACAGATCTGTAAAGCACTGTGAAGTGCAGTGGTGGGATTCAAATAATTTAACAACCGGTTCTCTGCCCTAATGATTTCTTCCAACAACCAGTTCACCAAACTGATCAGAAACTTAACAACCTGTTCTCCCGAACTGGTGCACACTGGCTGAATCCCATCACTGGTGAAGTGGTATATAAGTCTAAGTGCTTTTGCTAGTGCATCCCTCTCTGGCTGAATAAACAGGCTTTTTAACACAAAGCACACATCATGATAATCTATAGGAAAACATGCAAGAATCTACAGAGATGAATAAATGAGATGAACTTTAGAAACTCCTCTGCACTTGAGTGCAGCATGAACCCAGTCTGATTTAGCTCACAGTAAATGTGCCTAAGATTGCTGCACAGATTAGTTAATCAGAGTGATTAATCATCTAAAGCTTGAATTGCAAATTGGAATTGCCTCTCAATTTATTGACAATAAACAAAGACTCTGGGATGAGAAACACTTAAAGGGCCTTCCATCACAGCAGGCATTCAACTTGGCTGCTTAAATCCCATTAATTTCACTTGCTTCTACACCCACCCAACATCTATTCTGTGAGCAGCAAGGCATTTCTATAGGGGCATAATCACTTCTGCCTGTTCTGGATACTTAAGCAACTCCTTTGGTGTCATAATACACATTTTGAAGTAAAGATTACAATTTACACGGCACTGAAATTTTCTGATCTTTCTTAACTGCCAATAGACTTTTCTTGTGCCTGAGTTCTCTACTATAATTTGCTTTTCACATGATAATATCTGCCATATAATTAAGCCTTTCACAGCAGATTGACCCAGTCAAGATGTCAAGCACAGGGCCATTTAAATATATTTACTGGAGGGGGAATGCTAAACTCAAAAATGTATCCCAGCTGGTTGCAGTTGTACAATCATGTTACTGCTACTTATGGATGCAGGGTTAGCAATAAGTACCTACTTACAAAATACCCCTTTTTCTTATTTCTATTGTGTATTGCATTTACAATAAGCAAACAAATTATTCCTCTTCTTGGAAACTGAAATCTTTCTACTGTTAGTATAGTAGGTTTAGTTCANTATGTAGTAAGGCAATAACAGCTACAGAAGGAAAAGATGGAAGTGTTTTGAAAGAGTTGAGATGTTTCCATCCATACCTACACCAAACAGTAATAAATGGAAAGAAATTGAAAAATAATGTCCAATCTGGTAGATACACACAATATAATCATAAGAGTTGGAATTGGCCACTTTAGGCCATTAAATTGATTTTGTAAAAAATTCGTGTGTAGAGGTCTTTGCAAAAGATAGAGAAGAAATATATATATATCCACCTGTGTATCCCCAAAAATAAGATTATTTTCTTTTGGGCCCCAAAATAATCACTATGGCTTATTTTCAGGAGGTGTCTTGTTTTTTTCCCATGTATGAGAGTCACATTTCTGCTTGCCTGCAGTAGGGCAAAAGGCCACGTGGCATGCCAGCCCATTACCGAAAAGCAGGGAGGTGGTGCTGCTCCACGTTCCTTGCACCAGCTTACCTCAGGGTCCCTGCAACCAGGCCACCCACGCCTCGACACCTGCCTCGCCTTGCAGTGGCAGCTCCAGCAGCCCCATCCATCAGGACCCTGAGTGGCTGCCAGTCCATTTCTTCTCCTTGCTCGTGGCTCCAACGGAGCAGGAGGCCGAGCAGCACACTAGTGCCGCGGCCACATGGTGGAGCTGTCCCATGCACTTGCACTGGCTTACTTCATGGTCACCACAGCCAGGCCATCCATTCCCCGACACCTGCCTCATCACGTTGCTGTGCCGCCAACACAGCTCTCGGCCTCCTGTTCCATTGTGGCCATGAACAAGCAGAAGAAGAGGGCTGGCAACCTTGTGGTCTCCTGATGCCCATGGCTGTTAGTGCTGCTGTTGCAAGGCAGGTGTCGGGCATAGATGGCCTGGCTATAGGAACCTGAGATAACCACCACCACCATCCTGCCCCACCTTGTGGCCGTGGCACCATAAGCAACCAGATGAAACGGGCAGGTGTCAACTGCACAGGCTGTTAAGTAGGGCTTATTTTGGGGGTAGGGCTTATATTAGGCACATGGTAGGGCTTATTTTGGGGATAGATCTTGGTTTTGGGTATATTGTATATTTCCCCGGTGTATAAACAATATATACTGTATATTCTATTTTCTGGGTGCCCTGGCAATATATAAATATATAAATGGGCATAAACCATGAGATAATCTACAACCATTATTTTTGTAAATAACGTTACATTGCCAATATATTTAGCCATATAGATATATAGCTAGCACCAATTTTGCAAATCAATATCGATATGCAAAATGTCATAGAGAGATCACATATATGTGGCCTACATTGGAGTCATTTAAGACTGCTATGCAACACTTTGGATTTAAGGTAAATGGATGCTTTGGAACATAAAAGAACACAAACATACAACCTTTTAGCAATTTCTTAAGCTAGTCCTTTCTCAACGTTAAGTGGCAGTAATGGAAAGCAAAGGCACAGCTTTTCAAGTGCCACAAGGATATCCTCCCCCTCCTATCTTTTGAAGTCCTTTATTTAAAAAAAAAATAGAACTGCACAGAATTTCACCCCACTCAATGCAAGCACTTCTAACAGGAGATTTGTGTTTGTGTTACTTAAATATATCAGTGTGCTATTAGATTATAGCAGTAAACCCTCAACCCCACACCCACTATTACATTATAAATGGATACTATCTCACAAGACTACCTTATTTTGTAGCTGCCAAATACTACACTCCTGAAAACAGTTTCAGCAGTAAATATTTTCAATGGTTGGTTTTGGAAAAGACATAAAATAAGTTTTAACATATTTGTTCTCCATTTCAGGGGCATCCATGAGTTGATAAATGGAGGACATTGTCCCACTTCCTTTTTACATGCATCAGAGGACCTTAAAAAGGCTGTGATCACATGATCACAATCCTTTTAGCCCTTCCCCCCGAACATCTGTCCCAAACTTCTAGTATCTCAATAAAATTCTTGTACGACAGAGGCTTAATGTTTCCCCCCCTCAGATATATTTTCTTTCTTTTCCTTTTTTTAAATTTTAACCCTTTTAACCCAGTAAAAAAAATGTATCACTCCCATGCAAACAAATAGCATCTGCAATCCCTCAATCAGCACAGATGTTTTTCCCTTCATTCCCAGCTCCTCAATTCTAATAAAATGATAACTTCTTAAATGTTATTCATAATAAGAGAATCAGTCTCCGGAACAGTTTCCACTGAGGTCCTCTTTTGGGTTACCTAGCTGAAGTGTTAATACTTGAACCATGTTGAAGGCCAAGTATAGATATTTTAATATTTTCTACAGTGAACTCAAAAATGGGGGGTGGAGCAATGGGAAATAACAAATTCTCACACGTTCACTTATTTTTAGTTATAAGATCCCAGCTGTTGTTTTAGAAATTATTCTTGCATTTGTCCAAGAATATTTGATCTTGATATTAACTCTAGTACTGCCTTTTGGGGGGGGGGGTGTAAAAATGCTACTTCAGTGTCAGTTGTGGGACAGATAAGAAAGCTAAACTAGTTAAGNCTCAGTTTTAAAATGTTGCTTGCCTTACAATGCTATTTGCCTCGAATAGGGGTGTCAAACTTGTGGTTTCACATTGTCACGTGATGTATTGTGACTTTGTTCCTCTTTGCTAAATTGGGGGTGGGCGTGGCCAACATGTGACCACGAGCTGGACCCCGGGTCTAGAACATGCATTCATTGCCCTTCTTCATTACAGACCAAAGCGTTCAGACCCCTCACATCCCGGCAAATGAAAGCCACAGATTAGAACCCGTCACTGAAGCCAGACCTAAAAGTAAGTGAAGACAGATTTACATATCAATACAAGTCCACATTTATTTTATTCATTTTTATTTATCACATTTACATGCTGAGTCACCAACAAGGCAACCCTTTGTACGCCGCCATTATCATTATTATTATTTCTCAATTGTTTTGTTTCATTTTAGGATCTCGATAACTCAGCCCGATCATAGCTTTCTGTTTTCTCCTCCCTCTCAATCCATTTATTCTTCCTTCCTTTATTTGTTTTGCTGGGACCTGAGGCTGTTGAGAAAAGAGCTTTGATTTCCATGCTTGCATACTGATTATTCCTTTGACAAATATGTTTTGAGAACAGCAGATAACACACTGTCATTTATCTTATCAAAGTAACTGCAGGCACCACCGCATCAGCAACAAAGATTCCTGTGACTTCAGCATTCAGCCTGGGTCCAGCAATTTTAGGTGAGATTCTCCCCCACACACACTTAATATCAATCACATCTCAAAAACAGACCTATGAAACAATTATATGACTATCGCATTTGCCTCTTCTGTATTAGCTTATTACAGTTTCAACTCCTTTCAATTGACTTGAGCACAGGTATTCTCATTGGGTTTTTTTGTTGTTGCTGATCAAAAGGGAAACCAGGACGGCTGCGGGAATTCTTCACAGAAAAATCATATTATTGTTATTACACTCTGCCTCCTGAAGGAGCTGAAAATGGTGCACATAAAAAGAGCAACATGTAGGGAAAGCTAACAGAAGGCTTTGTTATAGCAGCAATGCTTGTGGGAAATAATGGGAACCGTGGTCGAATATATCTGAAAGTACCATGCTGGGGAAAACTTTATTAAAGTGGGTATCAATATTTTTCAGAGGGCAGTTGCCATCTCTCGGTTATGTGGTGGCCTGGCTGCCCCCACTCCTTTTTATTTTAAAAGTAAAGGTCATCATTCAGTAAGGCAAGTCCAGAAGTTTTTATAGAAGTTCTCTTGAGGGGATTGGCTCCATCCCCTCAGTAGGTGGCTCTTAATTCAAGAATGGGCAACCTTTCTTCTACTGAGACCCTTTTGAAATCATAGATTGATGGGGCAGATCTAAAAGGGGACTCATCTACCCATTCTCTTTGCTTTTTTCTAACTTAAATATATCTTTTTTCATTCTCGTTTTCCCTTTCTCTTGGTTTATGCCTCCCCTATAAAAAGATTGGGGTGAACATATTGCTTTGGACAGAGCTCTAAATTGATTGATTGTGAAAGGTATTTGAAAATAGATGGGTTCTATTGGTTGCATTAATACAAACTGGAGAGCAACATTGCTGATTTGGATGTTCTTCATGAGAAAACTAATAACTGCTGAAGATACTACCATTTTTGAAAGAAGGGTTGTGCTGAAAACATTGTTAGCCATCTACAACCTAAGCCTGTGATGGTAAACTTATGGCACGCGTGCCCGAAGTGGCATGTAGAGCCATGTTGGCTGGCACACATAGCATCACCTGATCCTCTTCTGGGTTTCTGGCATGCATGCACAGGTGCGACGATCAACTGTTTTTTGTCCATGTGGCAGTGCCGGAAACTGGAAGAGCTGGTCTTCCATTTTCCGTTGAGCACATGCGCGCTGGGCAGCTGATTATCGTGTGCACATTCACGCCAGTAACTGGAAGACAAGCTTGTCAGTGCACATATCTACAACAGAAACCGGAAATTCATTTCCTAGCATGTGCATGCCCACTAAGCAGCTTCTCTTCTGGCCCGTGTCCCTGAAGTGTGCATGCACACGCCCTCCTTTTTTGGCAAAAAGGTGTGCCATCACTGACCTAAGCCTATGGACAGGGGGGGTCAAACTTAAGGCCAGCCTACGGGGTGCTTAAATTTGGGCTGGTCTGGAAATAGCAAAGGACCAGCCCGCCGTGCCCCTGGCAGCCAAAACAGGGTGCAAGGGGCTGTGCGTGGGTTCCCTGCACCCCATTTTGGCTGGCAAAGTGCTGCAGGAGACTGAAAATGGGCATGGGGGGCACAAAATCCCACCCATGCCCAGTTTTGGCCAGCAGGGTGCTGCATGAGGCATCCATCCTATCCCTCCTTCCTGGTCGGCCCACAGAGGAGAACTACAATGCTGATCCAGGCATAAAGAAATCCAGTTTGACATCGCTGCTATGTATAATCTATTTTATCTAACAGTTCCAAGGCTTTTTGTAATGACTCACCTCAGCCTACTGAACATCTAAAGTAATTGCCACGAGATGGGTCTAAACTGCTAAGCTTTATGGTAGTGATAGCATCTATTAATGTTGTGGAGTGTGTACCTGGAAATTTTAAAATACACCTAAGAATGTGAGAACATGGATGCAGTGAAGGTAGCAATAATCCATCATGAAGTTAATCGATTAATGCAGTAATTAATCAAGCCTTAATTGTTTCATAGAAACTTCCCACTTTCTACTTTTTGCAAATATGATGAAATTTGTCATGTTGGTTAGTTTTAAAATGGGATTATATTGCCATTCTGCATCCCACTGACTTTTCATGTAAGGGACATGATAATGGATGGACGGACACTCGGCTGAATTCTTCCATTCAAAAGAAACACAAAGTTACATTTGGTTTTGCTTGTGACTAACACACATTCATTGGACTTCTTCATTACAGACCAGAGTTCTCAGAGCCCTAATAACCAGAAAAATACAACGGTCAAACTAGAAAAGGAATCTAAAGCTGGAGCTAAAAGTAAGTGAAGAAAAGCTTAGGTATCAATATGCCTAAATTTGTGTAAACCTGTAACTCTAATCTCTGCCATGTTTTCTAACAGACAGTCCCCAAGGCCATCATAAGATTACCATATCTGGGTTTCAAAAGTATGAATGATCACTAGATATACAAAAAAAATTATGTATGATTTTTTTTTTTTTTTGCAGCCCAGATGTGGCAACCATGGCATTAACAGATTGAGGGTAATGGATCTGCACATTTCCATAGTACTTTCTTTTTTAAAATAAAAATAAATGATCTATTAAAAATAAAGTTGTGTGGGGTATGTTTACAGACATACTGATGTTCATGTGTTTCAATAGAAATACAAGTAAAATAGCTTTTTTGTGAATAGGTTGATGATAAGGTTGCTTTCCTTTCCTTTAGAGCATCATAGAGTTGTGTTGGCACAGTGCTTAGAATGCAGTACTTCTGCTGATTGCCTGCTGCCAGCAGTTCAATTCTCACCAGGCTGAAGGTTGACTCAGCCTTCCATCCTTCCGAGGTCGGTAAAATGAGGACCCAGATTGTTGGGGGCAATGCACTGGTATAAATTGATAAATCTATGTTCTTCAGTCTATACCTGTGCATTTGATTTTTGTTATCTAAATGAAGAAGAATTTGCATTTGTCTCTGCTTTATCTCAAGACCACACCTGGAATACTGCATCCAATTTTGGTCACCACATTACAAAAAAGATGTTGAGACTTTGGAAAAAGTGCAAAGAAGAGCAACTAAGCTGATTAAGGGTCTGGAGTCAAAAAAACATATGAAGAACAGTTGCAGGAATTGGGTATGGCCAGTCTAGATAAAAAGAGGACTAGTGGGGACATGATAGCAGTATTCCAGTATTTGGGGAGCTGCCACAAAGAAGCAGGGATCAAGGCAAGGCAAGAAACAATGGATGGAAACTAATCAAAGAGAGAAGCAGCCTGGAATTAAGGAGAAACTTCCTAACAGTGAGAACAATTAACCAGTGGAACAGCTTGCCTTCAGAAGTTGTAAGGGCTTCATTATTGGAGGTTTTTAAGAAAAGACTGGACTTACCTATCCGAAATCATATAGGTTCTTGCTTGAACAGGGGGTTGAACTAGAAGATCTCCAAGGTTCCTTCCAGCTCTATTCCGATTAATTGATCATTCTGCAATTTTCACATTACAATAGGCTTATATGACAAACTCATTATATCTTCTTCTATTAAATTGTGCACACAGACCCTAGCAACAGGGAGTGATGCAAAATTATTTCTGTATGGTTCAGAAATGGTACATGAAGTATACAGTAAAAAAAAATCATTAAGAAAGCCAAAAAAGCTGCAATTAATTCAACTGCTAGTTGATCACTGAAAGAAAGAAAAGAAAAGAAACCTACAGGGGACAATATACGTGACTATATGTTTTTCAATTTCTTTTCTCATAGACAATTCAGGATTACCTAATCAGGAAAAACAAGATGATGCTTCTCACATTGGTAAGTAAATATGGTCCATTGACTCTCCTCTCAAGTTTTCACAAACAGATTTTTTTTTACAAAAATTGCTGCTTGAAATGAAATTGTTGTACTTGCTGGATGCTGAGCCTTGTAGCAAATGTGTACCTGCACACTTGCCTGGCTAACTACCTGTGTGCGTCTTTAGAACTCTACAAAATATATAAATGTAATGCAATTAGCATAAAATCAACAATTTTCACCTCTGAGCTTTGCCTTTAGAATACTGAAATAAGCACCAGATAAAGGAAAAGTTGGATCGTGCCAACCTTTGCAGAGAACAAGCATTAGAATATGTTGGCCCAAGAGCTTTAAAGTTAACATTCAGGGCAAAGCATCTGCTTGGGACTTTGTTTAAAAAGATTCAATGCGATTAATAATAAACACAACTCCTTAATAAGATATACCCAATTTTTTTATCTATAAAAGAAAATAGACAGCTATGTAGTTGTGTTTGATACTCACTTCAGTATCATCAGACTGAGAATTTTCATTAATGTATTGCAATGCATTTTGGGGAGGAAACCCTCTGAGCTTGATGTGGGGGGAGTGTTATATTCCAACAACTCTCTGCCTAACTAGCTTGCTTTGATTGATGAAGCTGCTTCGATGAGCAGTGAAACGTCTCAAACTAATAAGAAAAATAAATCCAGCTGCCATGACGCAACCTTCAGATAACCTTATCTGGATGATCTAGAATTTTCATCTTCATACTTCAGTAGTATTAGACCCTCATTAAAACATCTATTCAGTTAGCCCATCTGGTCCAGGAATTTGTTCCCGCAATGGCCAACCAACTGCCCAGGGAAGCTTGCTACTTTCCCAGCAGATGACCTTTGAGATAATCACTGTTCTGACCCAGCCTTAGCACAGAAGCAAGAAACAGACCACTTGTCACACAAAACCCCTTTATTTACCTCTTGTGAATTAATTGCATTCGCCCACCAAAAAGTCCAGGCAATAGTAAACTGCAAGGAGTTTACTCCCCACATCAAGGAGTAAACTGCAGTAACAGACCTTATCAGTTCCTTGCAATATTTGCTAGGCTGTGAGCTCCCAGTCAAAAGGCTGCAAATTAAGTTCTGGCAAGCAGTCTTTGTGGCACAAAACACAATGAGCAAAATCTTCAGAAATACGAACTGTTGTCTTCTACGACAACCACTCCCCTTTCCTTCTATTTATTCCCCAGGCAGGGAGGGGCCATTCAGTGTCTACGTGTGCTTTGCTTCCTGAGTTAACTCCATTGTTCACCTTTCCTAACTGCTCTGTGCATATGTACATCTGGAACAGGCCCCAGCTGTTCTTCCTCCTCACTCATATCAGTCTCCAAAAGCAACTGCCTCTCTGGTGGCTGGGAAATGTTGGACAGCCCTGGCTCTATCTCTGTGTGCAGAGCATCCAGCAGAGCTTTCCCCAGACTCCAGAACTGGCCCCAATTGCTCCCCAACCTCCTCATTGTCCGAGTCTGCTGCCAGACACTGCCAGTGTTTGGCGGGCCACAACACTCACACTGCCATCAAGGCTAATCACCATCGAGCCAAGGTGGCGCAGTGGTTAAATGCAGCACTGCAGGCTACTGCTAGATCAGCAGGTCAGCGGTTCAAATCTCACCGGCTCNTTATGTTCTATATCATTCAAAGAATTACTGACTATTTAGATACAGCTCAGCAGAATATTTGTTTTCATCCGGTGTCATCTTCTTAATTGCTAACTAGATATGTGACAGAATTGGTTCAAACTTATGGGTTTTTTGTTTTTTTTTGTATTTTCTACAGTTACCGTATCCAATAGTATTCAGCAAACTACTGGTAAGTAAAAACATGTAACTATATCATCAAAACAATGGCATCAATTGAGATCTCTTTGTATTCTTTTTTATTCTGGAGAGTTACTTAGTTATTATAAGCTATAATAAGTCAGTTACTCTTCCCCTATAAAACTAGGGGAGAGGACAGGCAGTCTTTATCTGAATCTAACTACCACAAGATGATTTAATAACTGAAGCTGTGGAGCATCAAAACATTAGCAAAGAACATCTACAACAGAGCTGTCCAACTCCCAGGCCATGGGCCGGATGCATCACACACTGGCCACGCCTACATCCAGTTTAGTGAAGGGGAATAGTCCTGATACATCACATGATGCTGCCGTGAGGATGTGAGTTTGAGACCCCCTGATCCAGAGGTGGGTTCCTACCGGTTCGGATGAGTAGGTAGTAAGTCGGCCGGACATGCACCTGAACCGGTTCTATCAGCGGCTCCACAAGCACCGCCATCTTGTTTTTTGCTTCTGCACATGCGCAGAAGCAATTTTTTTACTTCTGTGCATGCGCACGTAGCACTCATCAAGCGCATACGCACCTGAAGCGTGTCCCTGAGTGAACCGGCAGTAAAAGAAGCCGGAACCCATCCTTGCTCTGATCTATACACTACAACAAGAATTTGAAATCTGTAAAGTAATCCTATTAATCTAAATTAACAAAATGGACTAGATCCTCACATCTGTAACTTTAACCTTCTCTAGAGATAGCTACCATTTTAATTTGATCGCAAAAAGCATAAGACGGCTAATTGAAGAATAATGACTTTTATTGATATCCTTATCAATGCAGCTATCATGTGTGCCTATATAGTTAACGGGGGCACTGCCCATCACTAGGCTATGCATTTACCTGTCAGTGATGGGATTCCATTGATCATTAATATTTCTGCATGGCTGAGAGTTTGTACATAACCATATGGAAATTTTCCAACAAAGCCCTTTCAGGACCTTGGAGAGCACATTGCAAAAGCTACACCTAAGAGGCAGATTCCGCACCTATCTGAGGATTTTCGAAGATCTGGCAAAGCCAAGAAATCCTTTTTAGCTCCACCCCTTAAACCTAAAGAAGCCCTAACCCTTTCCTAAGCATTAAACTCATGCATAGCTGGTAAATCATGGGGGAATCATCAGAATCTGAATTACCGTATTTTTCGGAGATAAGACGCACCTTTTCCCCCCAAAAAAAGAGGGTGAAAATCTGGGTGCGTCTTATACACTGAATACAGCATTTTTGCCCTCCTGAAATCCTGCCCCCTTCACAAAAATGGACATGCAGAGAATTTGGGAAGCCTGTAAAGTGCTCTTGAGGGCTGGGGAGGGCAAAAACAAGCAAAAAATGGGTTGTTTTTTGCTTGTTTTTGCCAATCCCCAGCCCTCAGGAGCACTCTACAAGCCTCCTAAAGGCTATGCATGCCCCTTTTTGGCAAAAAAAAAAACCCAGGCCATATTTTGCTCGTTTTGCCCCCAGGAGCACTTCGCAGGCTCTCAAACTTTCTGCATGCTCCTTTTTTTCACAAAAAATGAGGCGTGCAGGGGTTTTTGGAGGCCTGCAGAGTGCAAAAACCTTTTTTTAAATTTTACATCTTCAAAATCTTGATGCGTCTTATACTCCGGTGCATCTTATCCTCCGAAAAATACGATATCTTCAAGCTGAGAAGGCACAAACAGGTATGATGAGGATTGACATTGTAATGCATTTACTATATGCAGAGTTCTTTACACATTTGCTAAACTTCTGATTCTGTTGACATGACATCCAGCAGTTCCTTTATGCCAGGTTTTTCACTGGCTGGTAGTCAGTTACTACAAGAAATTAAACAGCCAGGATGGTCAGTACAATTGTAACACCATTGGACCAGATTAATTTCTCACATTTAGTTGTGACACTATTGGACCAGATTAATTTCTCACATGTTTATTCTAAATAATGTGCAAGTAGAAAAATAGGAACCACCTTTGGTGGGAAGGTAACAGCACTCTGTGCACCTTCAGCATTTAATCATGCTGGCCACATGACCATGGAGACATCGTCGGACAGCACTGGCTCTTTGGCTTTGAAATGGAGATGAGCACCGCCCCCTAGAGTCAGGAACAACTAGCATATATGTGCAAGGGGAACCTTTACCTTTCTAATGCATAGGATTTCAACAATGCTGAGTGGGCAACATGGAATTTATAGCCTATATTACAGTTTCCATGCTCTCCATCCAGCATAGTTAAAATCCAGTGCATTGGAGAGCACAAAATTGGGGAAATTATCTCATTCCAATTAATCCCAAACGATCCTTATGAATTTAAATGGATAGTCATGAAAATGTTTTACATTGCAAAATGCAAATAAGGTTATGAAATGAGTTTGTAAATTGATGCCTATTTTGCTGCAACATTAGTTTACACTTCAACATATATTTTTTTCATTTTACATATTTTAAGTTAAAACCACACAGTACAAAGCAGAGTATATACCTAAAGACTTGGCAGGCATATTCTCACATTATATAAATGTAAATTAATTATAGAGAGATATTTTTAAAATCATTAGAAAATAGTTCAATAGAAGGTAGTACAGCAAATGGAGTTATGTTACACACATTGGTTTGTAAATTACATTGTCACAAAATACAGATGTCATGAAATCAATTAGTGTTAATTTGGGCTGTTTTTGTGAACCAGACGGAACAGTACAGTCATAGCAATCTGTAGAATGTAATATGCATCTAATTTCCTTATAGATTTATTATATACTTATCCCACCCCTACACACAAACACAAGTATGTGTGTATGTGTGTGTGTGTGTGTGTGTGTGTGTGTGTGTGTGTGTGTATATATACACACACACATATATACACACATATATATATATATATTCACCTTCTTTTGAAATATTTTCTAAAGATTTTAAAAAGTTAGCAATAATAAATACCAGCTAATAATAAACAGGTTAATAAAATCATGTTTTATTATTTTATCTCTTTAAAACAGATGTAATAGGTCAATGTGGGAATTTGAAGATATTTTTGTTCGAACAAAAATATTTTTATTTCTATAAATCATCCAATATGCAGCCATTTGTATGAATATGCAAATTATATATATAATTTACATACATACATACATACATACATACATACATACATACATACATACATACATACATACA